ATGTTCAGCGTCTCCATTGCCGAAGCTGCTGCATTGAGCTGCGGCCGCAAGGTGGTTGGTGCCTGCCGTGGTGGTAATCCCCGAACCAAATGGTGGACACCAGAGGTGAAGGGAGCCACCAGGCTGAAGGAGTCCTATCAGGCTTGGTTAGCCTGTGGGACTCAGGAAGCAGCTGACAGGTATTGACAGGCCAAGCGGAATGCGGCTCGGGCAGTGGCTGAAGCAAAAACTCGGGTGTGGGAGGAGTTCGGAGAGGCCATGGAAAAAGACTTTCGGACTGCCTCGAAGAGATTCTGGCAAACCGTCAGGAGTCTCAGGAGGGGAAAGCGGTGCTCTACCTGCACTGTGTATAGTGCTGGCGGAGCGCTGCTGACATCGACTGAGAAAATTGTCAGGCGGTGGAAGGAATACTTCGAGGACCTCCTTAATCCCACTGACACGTCTTCCGAGGAGGGCGCAGAGTCTGGGGATGAGGGGAATGACCCGCCAATTTCCGGGGGCGAGGTCACTGAGGCAGTTAAACAACTCCTTGGTGGCAGAGCCCCTGGTGTTGATGAGGTCCGCCCCGAGTTCCTGAAGGCTCTGGACGTTGTAGGGCTGTCCTGGTTGACACGCCTCTGCAATGTTGCGTGGAGATCAGGGGCAGTACCTGTGGACTGGCAGACTGGGGTGGTGGTCCCCATCTTTAAGAAGGGGGACCGGAGGGTGTGTTCCAACTACAGGGGGATCACACTCCTCAGCCTCCCTGGGAAAGTCTATGCCAGGGTGCTGGAAAGGAGAGTTCGTCCGCTAGTCGAACCTCGGATACAGGAGGAACAATGCGGTTTTCGTCCTGGTCGCGGAACACTGGACCAGCTCTTTATCCTCTCCAGGATACTCGAGGGTGCATGGGAGTTTGCCCAACCAGTCTACATGTGTTTTGGGGACTTAGAGAAGGCATTCGACAGTGTCCCTCGGGGTGTCCTGTGGGAGGTGTTGCGGGAATATGGGGTGTCTGGGCCATTCGATCCCTATACAACCGTTGCAAGAGCTTGGTTCGCATTGCCGGCAATAAGTCGGACTCGTTCCCGGTGGGTGATGGGCTCCGCCAGGGCTGCCCTTTGTCTCCGGTTCTGTTCATAATTTTTATGGACAGGATTTCTAGGCGCAGCCAAGTGGCGGAGGGCTTTCGCTTTGGTGGCCTCAGAATCTCATCTCTGATTTTTGCAGATGATGTGGTTCTGTTGGCTTCATCGGGTGAGGGCCTCCATCTCGCACTGGAACGGTTCGCAGCCGAGTGTGAAGCAGCGGGAATGAGGATCAGCACCTCCAAATCTGAGGCCATGGTTCTCAGCCGGAAAAGGGTGGAGTGCCCACTCCGGGTCGGAGATGAGTTCCTGCCCCAAGTGGAGGAGTTCAAGTATCTCGGGGTCTTGTTCCCGAGTGATGGGAGAAGGGAGCCGGAGATCGACAGACGGATTGGGGCTGCAGTAATGCGGACGCTGCACTGGTCCGTCGTGGTCAAGAGGGAGCTGAGTGTAAAAGCGAAGCTCTCAATTTACCGGTCGATCTACGTCCCTACCCTCACCTATGGTCACGAGCTGTGGGTAGTGACCGAAAGAACGAGATCGCGGATACAAGCGGCAGAAATGAGCTTCCTCCGAAGGGTGGCTGGCCTCTCCCTTAGAGATAGGGTGAGAAGTTCGGCCATCCGGGAGGGGCTCAGAGTAGAGCAGCTGCTGCTCCACATCGAAAGGAGCCAGCTGAGGTGGTTCGGGCATCTGACAAGGATGCCCCCTGGGCGCCTCCTGGGTGAGGTGTTCCAGGCATGTCCCACCGGGAGGAGGCCCCGGGGCAGACCCAGGACACGCTGGAGAGATTATATCTCTCGGCTGGCCTGGGAACGCCTTGGTGTTCCCCCGGATAAGCTGGAGGAGGTGGCTGGGGAGAGGGAGGTCTGGGCCTCTTTGCTTAGGCTGCTGCCCCCGCGACCCGGCCCCGGATAAAGCGGATGAACATGGATGGTCATTATTTACTGTATGTTGCAGACAGAGTTACAGACTCTCTCCCAGACCACAGACTCACAATACAAGTCAGAGCAAAAATAATAAAAATAATAATAAAGTTGTGTTTTCAAAATTGGAGTTCAGGTTATTTTTGCTTCCAATAGTGTTAACATACTGCACATGAACAAGATTGTTTTAATTTTCATTGTCAGTGGGCTAAAGCAGTTAATTAAAAGTAGTCTGACATAAATGTAAATGCTGTAATTTGATTACTTTAATAAACATGTAACTTGCATGGATTGGATGCTGGCGTGACCACAGTGCACACGTCTACTGCTGCTCACAGTGGTCCACGGGACGCTCAGGGAGTTTGTGTGTTCGCTCAGACACGTGAAACATTAGAGGGAACATTTACACCAAGTATCAATAACTGCATCAGTTATGTTGACTACGACTTCATTTCACACAGGCCATTCCTGGGGAAATGTTTTCTTGCAGGAGAAACACCCCGTAGGATCCAGCCAGATTCCCACAGCTGATGTTTCGTTCTACTTCATCTCCAATAACATGGCTGTGATTTAAAGCCATCACACTGAAGACTCAGGTGAACCTGTGAATGCCTTTAAAGCTGGCCTCAGTCTGCAGGACTGTTTTGTGTCAATCACAGTGTTACTCCTTCAGGTGCTTATAATGCATTGCAGATTTTAAACACTAAAACATTACCTGATGAAGGTGTGACGACAGCTACAGTGTGCAGTCAGCACAGAGTGTTTCCTGACTGAACAGCACTGCCTTGTTGATATCAAATTAATCACGGCTTTTATGGCAGACTGCAGCATTTACTCTGGAGGTTAGTGGGCCGAGTAATTGTGGGAAGTTGTTTTTGTCAAGTTTGTTACTGTAAATCCATCCAGGGTGATTTCACACAGCCATTAGATACAGTTCAGCTTTTTGCTGAAGTCTAAATGACATAGAAAAAAAGCTGTGACCCACTCTACTTTTAAGTTCGGCCTTCAAACTTTACTTTTTGATAAAAGCTTATGGTTCGGACTGAATACGGCCGACTTAATACCGTTTACCTTCTGTGTGCTTTGAAAAGGAGAGACAGGACAATAAATCTACTTTCACAGGAATTTGCCAGACTAACAATTTAGTTTCTGCTGGTAGGAACAAAGAATCGCCTTTTCTAAGAAAAGAGCCTTGTTTAGTTGGCATGCATCCTTGCTCTTTCACAATATTTATAGATCTAGATAGATATCCACATACACAAACCTTGTATTCAGGCAGAGAGCAGAGGAATGTGCAGAACATGAAAGACTGGCTTCATATGGAAATCGCAGCTGGGATAAAAGCGTGCAGACATGGCCACAATTATTCTTCAGAGAAAGGACACGACTCAAACTGCGGCTTTATTTCAAATAGCTTTTCAAAGAACCCAAAGATTGTGTGTTATAACCAACTTTTTAAAGTTTGAACAGATGAAACGTGTTTGAATGCAGTTGAAGTGCCTTCATGCTGGCCTTCAGCACACTGCATGAATGAAATGAGTCTGCATACAAGATGACAGTCTGTGGTTAATTTGCCTTTTGCTACCACAGCTGGAGGTGTTTATGCACCTCTCTGCATTACATCCTTAGTTATTATTAACCTCTGGCTCTGTAATTGTTCTGGGAGACTTTAATCATTTTAACATCCAGAAAAATATGCCTAAACTACATCAGTCTGTAACCTTCTCCACCAGGGCAAATAAAATACTCGATCACTGTTACACCAACATCAGAAATGGCTTCTCAGCTGAAACAAAAACCTCGCTTCGGAAAGTCTGACCACCTGGCAATCCAGCTGAAACCATCTATAACAAAAAGCTCACGACAAACCCAGTCACAGTCAGGACTATTAACACCTGGACTGATCTTTAAAGGAGCAGCTAACGATGTCCACAAATACATAGACTGTGAGCGACTACATAAACTGGTGTACGTCTGTTTGTGCCCCTCCCAGGACTGTGCGTCAGTTCCCCAACCAAAGCCCTGGTCTAAGGGAGACATTAAACTAAAAATCAGGGAGAGGATGGAGGCCTTCAAGGCAGGAGATCAGGTGGAGTATAAGAGGGCCTGCTACTAACTGCAGAAGTCCATCAGAGCAGCAAAGAGGCCCACTCTAAAAAGCTTTGAAGGCTGCTACCTCAACAACAACATGCACAGGATTTGGCAGGGAATTGAAGCTGTCACAAACTGCAGGGGAACCACAACCACCACAGAGCCCCGAGACACCCCCTTCCAGACAGCCTCAACACCTATGCCAGGTTTGACAGACTGAACACAGACTCGTCCTCAAAGGCCCCATGTGACCCCACACACGTCCTCAAACTCTGACGTGTGTGTGCAACGCTGAGGGACCTGATGGAGCTCCTCCCACACTACTGAAGGCCTGTGGGGGACAACTAGCTGGTGTGTACACTGACATCTTCAGCCTGTCACAATCCCGGGCAGTAGTCCCTCGTATTTTTAAATCCTCCATATTTATACCAGTTCCCCCCAAAAACAGACACTTCCGCCCTGAATGACTTCCCACCAGTCGCTATGAAGTGTCTAGAAAAAAATGGTTCTCACACACATCAACCGTGGCTCAGGGGTTGGGAATCGCATCTGTAACCGGAAGGTCGCCGGTTCGATCCCTGGGCTCTCTGTCCTGGTCGTTGTGTCCCTGGGCAAGACACTTTACCCTACTTGCCTACTGGTGTTGGCCAGAGCCTCGCTTCTGTCAGTCTGCCCCAGGGCAGCTGTGGCTACAACCGTAGCTGCCTCCACCAGTGTGTGAATGTGAGAGTGAATGAATAGTGGTATTGTAAAGCGCTTTGGGTGCCTTGAAAAGCGCTATATAAATCCAATCCATTATTATTATTATTATCAATCACATGGTCCCAGACATTATACACCCCCTCCAGTTTGCATACTGCAACAGCAATAGCCCTGCACCACACTCTGCAACACCTGGAAAGTAGTAGAACGTAGGATGCTCTTCCTGGACTACAGCTCTGCTTTCAACACCATCCGCCCGGGCAAGCTAATCAGGAATCTGCCAGACCCTAACATCCCGACTCCCACCTACAACTGGATTCTGAAATTTTTGACAGACAGACCACAGGCATTGAGAATGGGAGGATGCACGTCTGCTGAGCTCACCATCAGCCCTGGATCACCACAGGGCTGCTGTCTCAGCGGCATGATGGTGAATGTAACAGAACCCTTACCACAACTCACCAAAGAGGACATCAAGGGAATACAGAAGGAAGCAGGAGGATGCAAAGACTGTAATAAAGTGGTTGATAAATGAATTAATACCCAGATATGGAGTATCAAGAACCATCAGGTCACACAATGGGTCGCATTTCAACAATAAGCATCTCTCCAAAGTCGAGGGAGCCCTATGCATAACACATCGATTTGGGACAGCGTATCATCCGGCATCCTAAGCAACTGTGGTAAGAGCAAACCAAACCCTGAAAAGAAAAGTTGCTAAGATATGCCATGATAGTAAAATGATGTGTGGTGAGGATCTCAGGTATATATGCTAATGGAAAAGCCTCCACCCATAAGGAGACATACTTGACTCCACATGAACTGCTGACGGACCCCCAAGAGAGGGAGCACACCTCCCTCCCTTAGATATTCTGTCACGCAGTTGGAACAGACTCAGACCAGCTGGATTTAGAATAAAAGTCACAAGTTTATTTACAATTGGTGAAACTATATCCAGTGCAAGGGACAGACAGATTTCCAGGAATCCAGGTCCAAAACACACTCCACACAACAACTCCTCACTCTCCATTTTCACACTCCTCTTTGCGCTCCCAGAGGCGACCCTAGAAACTCTAGGTACCCACTCTAACCCTGACTGTATGTCCAGATATTAAAGTTGTTACTGAGTCATCGGACAGCATTGAATGACCAAACCTTTGGGAAAAGCACAGAGTCCCATCTGGGAGGTCTGAGTTGGCCCTGACTGATTTTGGCACTGCACTTCCCCATTAAAGGCCCTTTAGTCACTCGTGACCAGAGATGGGCAGTAACACGTAATCCGATTACTTTTTTCAAGTAACGAGTAAAGTAAGGGATTACTATTGCAAAAACGGTAATTAGATTACCGTTACTTTCCCGTAGGAGCGCTGCGTTACTGCGTTACTAAAACCGAGATTTTTTGCGAGAATGTCTCACGACAGTGACGTAAGCGAGTGCGACGTTAGTGACAACAGCTGTGTGCAGATCAACAATGGATCACATATCGATTGTGGGAGAGAGTATGAGCGTGCAGCGTTTAAAGCGTGGAAGTACTGACCTTACTTTGAGTTTGATTCCATAAAAAGTGACAAAAACATTAGTGTCCGCTGTGCGTGGGAAGAAAACTTCTTTTTACAGCGAAAAAAACCCTAAACTTCCACAAGCACCGAGTAGCTACGACGTAATGGGAAACTCACAGAGAAACTCGCGGATTCTTCCACTGACCGCGGCACACCTGCACCAGGGTAAACCTCCGCCTGCCCCACTCCTGCTATACAGGTGAAAATAGAGCAACAGGACCGCTGAGTCTTTGATTTTATTTATTTTCTGCTGTGTTTTACTTGCATCTATTTGAAAGACTGAGTGTAAACACACAAAATATTTTATCTTATGAGCTGGAATGTGCAGAAAATAGGTTTAAATGTTAAACTAATTTCTTCCAGTCAGAGAATGTTGCAGATAATTAAATTTTTGCTTGATGCATAAAGTTAAAAGATTAAAACTAATAAAACAAGTTTTAAAAAGAGACTTTTCCATTTGATTACATTTCGTATGATGATTATGCAGAAAAAGTAGAGTTGGGCTGAAAGATCTATCACTTTATCACCTCTTCAGGTTGTAAATCGTGTCTTAAAACCCACTTTTATTCCTTGGCTTTTAACCTCAGTGAGACTTAGTTTTCTCTTTTAATTGTAGTTATTTAATTAATGATTTCACTCTTCTTTTATTTTTTTATTTATATCTCATGTAATTTTATTTTACAGTTCCAGTGTACAGCACTTTGTGTCAGCTGTGGTTGTTTTAAAGTGCTTTATAAATAAAGTTGATGATGATGATAAATCGTGTTTTTAAAAAGTAACTAAGTAATTACTTTTGAAAATAAGTAATCAGTAAAGTAATGGGATTACTTTTTTGGGGAAGTAATCAGTAATTAGTTACTGATTACTTCCTGATTACTGAAATTCCTGTTGAAGTCCCGGTAAGTGTTTCTAAGGAATTGTGTTTATGCAACTACTATCATAATGTAAATGTAATCTTCATTGGAGAGCGTGCATATCGATATTGGCTGCAGACTTAATCTTCTCTGCTTAACTTCTATATGCAAGACACGTTTTAAAGATAAAGTGACTAATTACTTGTTTGTATTTGTATCTTTATGTAAAGTAATAAATGATGAGGAGACCTTTCAGTATGTGTTCACCTGTGCAAGTGTGACAAGAGTAAAAAGTGACTATACAAAAAAATGATATGAGTCTCTTTGTGGCTTTCTGTACTCAGAGCTCTATAATAGCATATTTACTTTTAAACATCAGTTATTGTTAGATTTTTTTGTTTATGCATTATTTGCCATTCTGAGTTTAATAGTTAATGAAAATGTCGAGTTACAGTGACTTTGTATCTTCTACAAGAGACGCACAAGACAAAGTTAAAAACTGTAGCGGAAAGTTGGGCAAAGTCCAAAGACTTACAAAAAAAAAAAAACAAGCCTTTGCCAGACGAATCCAGAAGAAGTACAGAAACCTCGTGTACAACGTTGGAGATCAAGTTCTTCTCCGGAACATGAAACGTCGAAGGAAGGGAGGAAGACTTTATCCAGATTTTTCAGGACCCTAAACCATTCAGGACATCGCTGGCAAATGTGTGAGATTTAAAAAGGAGCAACAATCAGTACAGGATTGACCATATTAAGCCGTACAGAAGAAGCCACCCTGTAAATGTCAGTGACAATGAAAAATGCCCAACTCACAGTCAGACAATGAACAGCAGCACAAACCTGAAGATGCCCCCCTGCCGTCCTACTGCTAACCCTCGGTACCAGCAAAGGATACCAGACCCTCTGTTTTTCATTATGCACCCAAAACGGCTGACAACAGTTGTTGCTCCCACCAAGAGTCAAATTCAGTTCCGGGACCAGAAACGCTTGAACAAGAACTTCCCTCCTGGAAACAAAGCTTAGAAAATGAAGGTGGCATAGTGAACAACTCTTTTTGACCAGTTGGTCATTTGTTGCCAGTTTGGCAACTTGATTCACTGTTGCATGACTTTGTTTGCATTTTGCAGTCTTCATCTCATACTGGATGTAATGAAACATGCAACGTGCACTGAGCTTGTGGACGTCTGACAATAGATTGGTCTGTCAGTAATTTCTCCCACCCGCTGTAACTTTCCTACTTCTCTGCGTGAAAATGCATGTTTATTGTGTTGACTTTTTTCCTGTTGTGGCTCGTTGGCCTTTACCCGGCTTTCCACTAAAAATCTCATGCATGCCTGAGCTAACTTATCATATTTTTCTTTTAGTAAAGCGACTATGGGCTGCAAAGGATACTGGGGGGTGGTATATTGAGAAACTCCGATAAGGTTTCACCCATACACTTCAATAGGAAAGACTGTTATCAACCACAACAGATGTTGTGACATCTGTGACATCATAATTACCAGTTCCAGTACATGCAGAAAGAACCCTTATCAGCAATTATAGTCCTTTCTAGGTTTTGATGGACAGCACTCAGCAGTTACTTCAGAACTTGTTGCTGCTGGTGTAAAAACTGATTATTCAAAACAGGTCATTGATGGATACCTGCACCGTCTCACTGAGAGACGAAAGGTAAGTAAGAAATGTCCTTGGCCCACTTATTTTGAAATACAAAAAATGTATTTACTGTTCTGTAACATTTAAACATTTTAACATTTATACTTATACAGAATGCTGTACACCTGCTCTGTTCAGTGGCTGCAAGCTCGTTGTTTTCTGGGCAGTTCAGATGCATCACCAAGGTAAATTGGAAGTTCAGAAGTGGTCCAAAAAGTGGACTCCTTCCTCTTTCTGTGGACAGAGTTCAGCTCCATTAAAGAAGACTATATTTGAAAACACCCTGAGACGTATGGTACCTAAGTAAATCGAAATTATTCTACACTTCCAATCCCACAAATGAAGTTCCCAGTTGAAGACATGTGGATGTGTCCTGTGAACTTTGGTACACACTGGATTCTTGTGATATGTCTTCATTTAGTTATTAATTATAACAACTTCAAATATAAACAGCTGTCTTTTCCACTCCATGTCTCCTTGTATTCTGTGTTAACATTAGATGAATGTGCGCTGGAGGCGTGTTTTGATAGTGTGATTTGGCCATCAGAACGTCCTACCTATAGACATACGATGGCATAAACCACGTAAGGTAGCACGCTACCGTAAGATGTTTTGATAGAACACCTGCATTTCATCTCTGAGGAAGTTATCCCAGAGAAATAAAGTGTGTAAGTTCATCTCTAAATGTTTGTAAAGCATTCCAACGTTAAGCGTAACGATCGATATATGGAGCGACTGCTGTGCATTTTTTTTTATTTTTATTTTTTTTACACGTGCATTAAATTAAAGTCTGTTACGTCGATTAAGCATCACAGGGTGGGGGGTGGTTCCCTATTTTTTTTTTTTTTTTTTTTTTTTTTTTTTGCTGGGAGTTTGCAACCCTGTTAGCTAGGCTGTTTAATATATGTGAGTGAAGTTGGCCCCCCCACCTTCTTCAAATCCAACAAAAGTGGTACCAAACGTTTGTGCTACGTTTGTGCTGCTAAAATTTTCGTTTGTGCTGCTATCATTTTAAAGTATTAATAAAATTTCTAGAGGTCATCAGAGGTAACCAGCCCCCCACATTACCCAATCCAACAAAATTGATGTCAAACGTTTGTGCTACATTTGTGCTGCAAAAATTTTAGCAGCACAAACGTAGCACAAACCTTTGATACCACTTTTGTTGGATTTGAAGAAGGTGGGGGGGCCAACTTCACTCACATGTTTAATATTTCTGCTAAGTACTCTTTAAAATACCAGAATAGGGAGGATGGAGCAGGTTTAAGTTTATTAGATTGATCAGTATTGCTGCATCCAAACTACAAAATATTTTGGATGCAGTGTATTTTTTACATACAGGTATAACATACACAAGGTAGAAAGATAAAAAAAAAACTGTTTTATTGATTATAAGATACATAATATTGGATTCATATCAGTATCGGCAGATATCCAAATTTATGACATCAGTGTCGGGCAAAGTGGTATCATGCCATCTCTAGGACAGACTTTAACAGGACTGTAATGACGAGAGTACGAATACGAGAAAGATACAAATGTGGGACGATAGTGAGGTTTCTGATATTCATCAATGTAGATAAGCTAATAATGATAGGAGCCCTAAAGAATTAATAAAGGATGTAAATGTAGATCTTTGTCCGCTTTAATAGCAAATAGGGGAGCGGATTATGGATATAATTTAAATTAAAGCTGCAGGCAGCCATGAGAGGGCTACAAACACCAGGTGGCGTTGGACCGTCTGATGTAATGTCACACTGATGCATAGCATGTGTGTAACCAGCAGTTAAAATACCATCCAGCAGTGGCGGTTCTAGCCTGTTTGGCGCCCTGGGCGTACACTCCCTCTGGTGCACGCGCACCAGAGGGCTCTCGCGCTCACTTCTCACGTTTCGAAAAAACATCGGTGCAAATTATACGTCTGTATCAGGATGTCTGGTGTTTTCGTGTTTGTTGTTTTGTTTTCATTTTGTTTTATTTTGCGAGTTGGTTATTAGATGCTGCTCCAGCCACCAGTGAATCCCCCACCGCCCCGCCCTCTCCTGTCTGCGCTGCAAGCAGCAGGCGCACCTCGCAAACGGAGGGCGCCCTTACTCCCAGCAAATGGGCGACAGAAGACCGATCGGTGCCTGTGACATTCCCAGTATGCGCTGGCTGATGTCGGGGCAGCATGAGTACCAGCAATTTGTTTTGTTTGGTTGTTGTCTGTTCATATTATATTTGCAGTTCTAGCTCCTAGTTTCACTCACTGTGTCTTCCCTGTTGCATGTCCATTCAGTCATGTCTCAGTGGGTCTTTGTATTCTGCGTGCTTCTTTTGTCTCGTTATGTCTGATCTGTCCCACCTGTGTTCCCACCAGTTTCCCATCCTCTCGTTATCCTGCCTGTGTATTTAATGTGTTAAATACACAGGCAGGTTTGTGTGTCTCCTGTTGAAGTTCCCCTCGCTGGTCTTCATGTTCCGCGTTTCCCTGTCTCAGGTTTTTATGTTTCATGTCTCGAGTCCCAGGCGTTCTGTTCCTTTGTGTTATTTCTGTAGCTTTTCTTAGTTAAGTCGCTGCCGTGTTCTGCCTTTCTTTGTATTTTGTCAGTCGTCAGTGCTGCCCTTGGGTCCACACTCTCCCCACGTCTGCATCACCAACATTGACGGTATGAACCAGCCACACCGTGGGGGCGGGGGGCATCATTTATTCAGTTGACAACCTATGTGACCAGTGGCTGAATCAATCCAGGAGGGAGTACTATTGTGCCGTACCAAGCCGGCTATAGCAACTCATTTCTGGCCTCTCTGGCTACTAGACCCACTCCATCCACTCAGACTTTCTTCTCCACCCCCAACTGCAACCGCTTACCTTCCTAGCCCACCAGCCCCGCCTTCGAGGAGGAGGCAGCGCCCCCCCACGACTTCAGAGCAGTCAGCTGTGGTGAGAGACAATTTTCCTGCTCCTTTTGAGACTGAAATGACAGACTGATTTCGTTCTGCTCTTCCTGGGCCTGGAGTTGCAAACCCCGAGTCTGTTAACTCAGCCTGATTCTTCGGGGTCGGTAAAGACGGACTGTAAATTTAAAGACTGTTTCATCTGAGCTGTTCTCGTCAGAATTTAAGACGTGTAGCTGCTAGACTGGCATCTCAAGAGACTTTCACTCCCTCCAAGCGCTTCCCCAGAGGCCGAGCTGCTGACCTCAGGAGGCGGTGCAGCCAGAGGTCTCAGCACCTGCTGGTTCCCTTTCTGTTCCCACTGGTGGAGAGTCCCCTCCAGCCGTCCGCGGCTTCTTCCCCAGCAGGAACACCACCGTCTGTTCCTGCTGGGGAAGGAGCAGAACTGGTCTTGCTTATTTGGTCATGTTTCCAAAAACATGTTTAAGGTTTATGCTAAGACTAGTTTGTCCAGAAAAATAAGTAAATAAATTTGCATTTTCTCGTCTTTGAAGCTCTCATGTTTGTAGATGTAACTAATTAACCCGATACTTTATTACTACCAGTGTTGGTCAAGTTACTTGAAAAAAGTAATCAGTAACTAATTACTGATTACTTCCCCCTAAAAGTAATCCTGTTAATTTACTGATTACTTATTTTCAAAAGTAATTAATTACTTAGTTACTTAGTTACTTTTTAAAAACACGATTTACAACCTGAATAGGTGATAGAGCGATAGATCTTTCAGCCCAATTCTACTTTTTCTGCATAATCATCATACAAAATGTAATCAAATGGAAAAGTCTCTTTTTAAAACTTGTTTTATTAGTTTTAATCTTTTAACTTTATGCATCAAGCAAAAATTTAATTATATGCAACATTCTCTGACTGGAAGAAATTAGTTTAACATTTAAACCTATTTTCTACACATTCCAGCACATAATTTTTTTTTTTGTGTGTTTACACTCAGTCTTTCAAATAGATGCAAGTAAAACACAGCAGAAAATAAATAAAATCAAAGACTCAGCGGTCCTTTTGCTCTATTTTCACCTGTAAAGCAGGAGTTGGGTAGGCGGAGGTTTACCCTGGTGCAGGTGTGCCGCAGCGGTCAGTGGAAGGATACGGCAGTTTCTCTGTGAGTTTCCCATCACGTCGTAGCTACTCGGTGCTTGTTGGAAGTTTAGGGGTTTTTTTCGCTGTAAAAAGAAGTTTTCTTCCCACGCACAACGGACACTAATGTTTTTGTCACTTTTTATGGAATCAAACTCAAAGTAAGGTCAGTACTTCCACGCTTTAAACGCTGCACGCTCATACTCTCTCCCACAATCGATATGTGATCCACTGTTGATCTGCACACAGCTGTTGTCACGACCGTTACTCTTACGTCACTGTCGTGAGACATTCTCGCAAAAATATCACGGTTTTAGTAACGCAGTAACGCAGCGTTCCTGTGGGAAAGTAACGGTAATCTAATTACTGTTTTTGCAATAGTAATCCCTTACTTTACTCGTTACTTGAAAAAAGTAATCTGATTACAGTAACGCGTTACTGTAACGCGTTACTGCCCATCTCTGATTACTACAGAATGGCATATCTGGGATTAAGGATCCCGAAGTGGAAGAGTTACGACAAGAATCCAACTGTCAACTTTTACAAATAAGCCAAACCGATGTAGGTAAAAGCTAGGACTCTGTATTTTGAATACTAAAGGGAAAAATCATGGAAATTTAATTTTCACAGTGGAGTATAGTTAGACATGTGAAATTATTGCATCTATAGTTGTTTCTAAATTGCTATGATCCAAAATATTTTGTAATTTCAGTATGCATGCCTGGACCCAGGGGTTAGCAGAGATGACCTTTGTGCAAGGGCAACGGGACTGTTGGTACGACAGGTGCAGCTGAAGAGAGGGTTGGCTGCTCGTAGATGCGACTGAGGCCACGACTCAGACAAAGGAGGAGATGCTGACAGAAGTGAACATTTTATAAATGTTTTCATTTCGACTTTTCTTTGACTCTAAGGTCTGTGTGTAACTAGTTAAAATCTTATAAAAAGATGGAAGATTAAGAGGAGGGCTAAAGTCTTTCCACATTAAACGTAAATAAGAAATATTGTGAATAAGAAATACGTTTCTAAGAAATCTGAAGTACTCTTTAGATACAGTGGTATGCTGTTAGCAGGTAGGTCAGGAGACGTGGATGACATGGAGAGTGTTGCAGTGTTTGTGGACGCGGATGTTACAGCTACACCTGATAACAGTTCTGTCAACCTCCCGATGACGGCGGCACCGGGGCAGTACGGAGGTTTTGTCAGTGGAGATGTTGATGTGTTTGAAGGTGAACTTACTGAGCCTACAGAGTGGACTGCAAAAGGTTTGTGCCATGTATGACACGTGTCCTGACACTGACAGCACATGTGCAGTCATTTCTCAGAATGGACAGCATGCACTCTCAGTGCACGCAGTGCTGTGGGTTTGGTCAGTGACAGGGAAGAAGTGTTGTTCTGCTGTTTGTGTACTAGAGACACATGCACCTGCTAAGGTTAAACCAGAAGGGGAAAGCCCAAGGCCAATCTCTTAGGTTGATGTCCGCAGTAGTGCCCTAACAGATCATGAGAAAGCAAAATGAGATTACTGAGATGCTTGTAAAACAACAGGTTGTCACTGCTTCCAGCAATAGAAATTCCTGTTTTTGGTGGTGATCCTTTGCATTTTAGATCCTTTCTTAAGGCGTTTGAGCAAGGAATAGAAACTAAGACTGATAACATGCAGGATAGGCTTTCTTATTTAGAACAGTTTACTACAAGATCAAGCCCAGATATTGTAGACACACCAGCTGCAAAGTAACATCTGTATGAGTGTACTCATACAGATGTTAAAATTCTGAATCTATATAAAATAAACTTTGTTTTTCTGAATGTTTTTAAATAAATGTTTTCACATCTTTATGTCTCAAAAAAAAGAGGGGTGTGGTAAAGATGGTTTTTTGTTTGCCAAATGTCTGATGGGAAGACGGGAGGGTTAGAAAATTATTTTGACTTAAATGTCACGGCCTCTTATGTTCCAAACACCAAAAAAGTCCAAGAAAAGGCCGTGGGTGGCAACGGGAGGTTTGGAACATAAAGGCCGTGACAGGCTCTTTCAGATGAGAGCAGGCGCTTTGATAGTGTGTTTATTTTTATTTTTTAAATCCGGACCACTTCCGGATGATTAGCTGCTTGAAAAATAACATCGTCCAGTACAATGAGATGACTTTGGTGTGAGGGAAACAAGGTCTCATCTTGAAATGATTCAGGAATGCCCTCGATGAATTTAATGTTTTTATTTTTCTCTTGAAGCTCAGAATACAGAGGTTGAAAGGATGTATAAACCCACACAACATTGTCAATAAGCTTGTTCAAAACATGTACACAGTTTTCCAATACAGATTTCACAAAAAAGGTCTTTCCAGAGCCACTTGGCCCGACAACCATACAGGAAAATGGCACATGAAGTCTGGGGTCAAACTCGATTAAAGCAGGCTGAAACATTTTTTAAAAAACAAACACAAACGAATAACAAAAAATCAATAACCAAAGGGTAAAGTCAGACCTCCTGGCAGCAATCTACGCTTGTCATAAACAACACGGAATTTTTTGGGAAATGATGAATTTTGTAGTGAAAAGGCTGATTTATTACGAACGATACTGTGCTGAGGGGCCTCAAGTGTAGACCCTCCTTCACAGTTATCAATGTAATTGTCAACAAGAGTCTTTACAGATTCAAAGTTGACCTTCTCGCAGACATCATGTGTTTGTGTGATTCCTTTTGCTTTCAAAACAACTTTACCTTTTCTGGTCATGTAACCATAACTCTTAGGTCCTGCTGCAACAAACTCTGTAATGAAATCATCCTGGTCTAACTCATTTGTTAGCTCGCCTAAATACCTGCCTGTTTCTAGTTCAGATTGATTTTCTTTAGTGAGATACACTACGCTATCAGTGTCATAGTAAATAGCTCTTTCCTGCAGCTGATCCAAGTAACTGTAGAGTTTCATACGCCCATATGAAGTAGTGAAGGCCGCAATGAAGATGTTATCTGTGGAGTTTGGGAGCGGAGTGCAGAGGTCACCATAACACCATTGAATAAGAGCCACATCATCACTGACAAAAGAGAAATAGCTCACTTTGTATTTTGGAGAGAACATGAGGTTAAAGAATTCCTCGGGGTCACTCACCAGTTTGCTCTGTGTGAGATTATTTCTCTGACCAAATTTTCCCCAAAAAGAGTTTAAACACAGTTTGGCCAGTTGTCTTTTAGCAGGGTTTAGTTTTATGTTTTCAGGGTCTAAAGTTATTCCTTGCTTAGCCTGGTAGTCTTTAATGTAAAGCTGTTTAGCCTCCTCAGTTACAGCATCTGATGGGTAGCCTGAAGCTTCTTGTTTTTTGCGCAGGAAATGATGTACATAGTCTGTGAATATTGTGTTACTCTGTCTCTCAAAGTGCCATACCTCTGTGATTCGACCTATTTCATAACCCTTTTCTAATGCGAGGTTAAACTCGGGAGTGGTCCACACCCCTCTCAGTGCTCTATCCTCGTTACTATGGTTACAGGCTCCTTGTTGGTTGTTCATTTCAGCACAAGTGCGACAGAGAGTAAAGAGAAGTTTTCCTGATTTTGTTTTAAATGGTAAGACCGGAAAATAGAGCCGTCGTGGTGGGTAAACGGCAGCTTTGATAAACCCAAAGTAGTTTTTAGGGTGCTGAAAATTTCGAAAGATTATTTGAGGATGACCTAAGGGGTAACTACATGTACTATTTACATATGGATACAGGGATGTGACATCGACATAGTTGATTTTCTCACGGGGCCCGGCACTACAGCGAAGTTGTGCTGGGCTTGTACGGCCTCCACAGAGAGCATGGTGGGGGATCAAAGGCTCTGGTGGATCATAACGTTTGAGAAAGCTGATTACACTCTCATCACTACGTTTTAACTCGGTCCACTCATGCTCCCAGATTATAACAAGAGAGACATTATGCTCAGCTCTCAATCTAGCGAGCCTGTCTTGAGTGGCGCTGTTTAACTCTGCAAAAGAGGAACCTACCAGGGGGTTAACATCGGACTGATTGGAAAAACACTTAATACACCCATGGAAGTAGCAGCCCAAAAATTCCCACACGTATGTTTTACCATTATTTTCGGAATATCCATCTACATAATAACTACCGAGCTGTTTTTCTCCTTGATTGAGCGCATGTCTGATAAAAACACCTTGCGTAAACGAGAGATATTCGAGCCATTGAATTGAGGATGAGGAAAATGATTTTACCTGATTATGGTAATTTAAAGGACAGGGCAGGGCCAGAGAATTGGCAGGCATGAAGTTTGTCAAATACGTTTTAAGACAAGCGCTTGCAAGCGTGTTGTGACTGAAAGGATCTACTCCTGTCTCTTCAATAAACCCGTTTCTAAACAATGTGCAACCCCGAGCTAGAATTTCAACATCATTTTTACAGTATAACAGCGCCTGTTTCATGAAATTGAAGGGGCCAGAGCTGACTGAATCATACCATTTGTAAAATTCCTGTCTAATTTTTGATGTCATGCGCTCGAGACTAAATGCGGAAGGGGGAGGGTACGGCCCAACATAAGTTAGGTTTTGTTTGGAGCTGAAAGAATGAGGAAAAAAACCTTTAACACTATCTGAAAATCCCATCGCTTTCGGGATAGCTGACAATGGCATAGGTAGGAAGCATGACGAGTCTATATAACGTTGATTAAAGTCTGGGTCTGTAAAGCTGATCACTTTGGAACCTTGCATTATCAAGTTTGGTTTTAATCCTCGCCTAACTAACCCGCGAAGGATAATGTACGCATCGAAACCCTTTGCATTATGAGCGATAAAGATTGAGCCCTTGAAGTGGGGGCGTCTAAAATGAGCAAGAAAGTTTTCAACGCAATGCTCGCCCTGAGAGCTCCAAGATTTACCATCTGATGTTTTTGTACACACCAGAAAGGGCTGTGCTCACCGTGTTCGTTAACAAAAGTTTCAAAATCATAAAAAATCAACTTGTTATTATGTTTTGTTTCGCGTTGTAAAACCTGCATATAGCACTGATGTGTTTGATGATCACTAGAGATTTCCTGACGACAGATTTGGCATTTTCTCTTTTGGCATTTGTGAGGTTTTTCATATGCTGCTAAGTAATATAGCCTTGAGCACTTGATACATTTCCTGTAGAGGTCACAGTTGCTGGCAGACCTTTCACGCCTCTCAATGAGTTTTTTTATGGCTCTCAAAACAATAACGAGATCTACAGGTGCGATTACAATCGGTACATACAATAGGGGAGAGGAAATGATCGTTGCAGTCAGGCTGCATACAGACTGAGCAACGAGCAGGCAGAAATGGGATAACACATGGTTAAAGCCTATGTAAAATGAGTACACAAATACGCTGTGCCCAAAAATCCTTTAAGATTTTTGATAGCGTAGTAATGATTGTCAAATAAAAATAAACACAAGGCTTTTGCGCTATTCACTGTACTAGTCTGAAATTTACAAAGGGTGCGATCATGCTCGTTACGGTAAAATACTATAATTTTACATCCTAGTAACCTTTCAAATGTAATTATTTGATTAAACCAACAGGCGTTTGATCATTTAGACCAGCTTTTTGTTGAATTTCTCTAGCTAATGTTTGTGCTTGATAGTCATTAAAATCGGGTTGCAGAAGGTGGGCAACACTTGTAGCAAAACACAACTTATTCGAGGGGTTATGGACCACGTATAAAAACCGTGTTTTCTTTTTCACAATTTCGCTGTCGAGTATGTGTTTAAGCAATCTTTCCACTGCCATTTGGGGTGTAACAATCTGAGCTACAACCTCCAACGAGCCATCACACATTACTGACCAGTTTGACTGTACCGCTCTCAAGAATAAATTTTCAAATTCA